AGTCCTGAAACAGAAGTCAATAGAAGTCATATATACCAAACCCAAGTCCAGACCATTTACAAACAAGACAATCCAATAGAGCAACTACTCATTATACTTTGTAGAGAGTCCTCTAATCAACAACACATGTTTAGGCAGTAGTGTCAGATGGTGCAAAAAAATCTTCAGCATTACTAGAAGTTACATGATTTGTGAAAACATCTCAGTTCTCCAAACTTTTAATGGTGTCATACCCCACACGGTTTAAAAATTATTAATCAGTTCAATAAAAATATCAAAAGGGTACACAACAACAGCTATAGCAACCTAATATCATTCAGAATCAAACTCCTTTCAGGAACACTCCCAACCCGTCAAATGCTTCACCAACATCATCCTGATCAATACCCAAATAGATGTTGTCCAAGATGTGAACTTCGCACTGAAGATATCCAGCATGTTTTTAAATGTCCTGAAGCCTTAGAAGAGGCCAGTCAAATCATAAACAATCTCAACCAAATTCTTCATCCAGACAAAAACTCCAGATCAATCTTTCACATATGGCAAGTCGTGGAACTGTCATGTGGCATCACCGATAGAATATTCTCCATAATAGACATCACCAACTGGATCAAGGCGTCAACTGAATCCCTAACCCAATTGTATAACTCAATCTGGAAACTACGATACAACACCACCAACACCTTGCTCCTTACAGGTATCAAATGGAAACCAAGCGAATTACCGAACACCACCAACTCAGCCAAATCAAAAAGAAATCATACCGCTTCTAGCAGAAACTCACATTTCAATGATATCCAAAACGAAATTATCATAGATCTATTGACAATTGTCGCTAACTCTTTTATTCAATGTAATTATAACCATAACAAATGTATTCAAAAATTAATCTCATCTCTTTCAAACACCATCCCCCCTAATACTGAGTAGGTATTCATAGCTGCTTGGTGCCACACAGCAAGATATATTGTTTTAAACTTTCTTTTCAATATTAGTCGTATGGTTACTGTAGGCAAGCTAGCATTTAACTCATTGTTTCAACATATGAGAGATGTTATTTTTTTCATGATGTATACCTTGTTATATACAAATAAAATAAAGAAATGATGTTTACCTACTAAAAAAAAAAAAAAAAAATTTGTTAAATATTATTTTTTAAAATCAATTAACAAATAACTTGAAATTACAAATATTAAACTTCATCAATTTTAAAATTAAAAAAATAGATTAAAATAATAAATAAAAATAAATGGAGACTGTATATTACTATAGTTGTTCTTTAATTTCATTATAGCTTTTAAAGTTTTTTTTTTTTTGTTTTACGTTTTTGGATAGCCAAATATTTTCATTATTCAAAGTTTATCTATATTATGATGCTTTAAATATCAATCCGAAAGTAAAGATACTTTTTTTTTTTGATTTATTAAAAAAATGAGATATACAATTGTAATGTTTTGTTTAATTAAACTCAATATTTTGTTCAACATTTCACAATGATTGTTGACTCATTATGATACTATTGTTATTACTCATTTTTATGTAACATGCATAGAAACACACGAGCTGGATCGTGATGATGGAAAAAATTAGAAGTAAGTGTAAAACATAATAGATATGTACGTATATGCGAGATGTTTATTATCTAAAGTTTGACGCATCACTCAAAAAAAAAAAGAGCCGAACTAGCTTTATTCTTATCAATCAGAGCGCGTGTTCCATTCTATGTTCATCTTCTAAGGATGAAGAAAAGAAATGTTCTGAAGTAAATAAATAATTTAGAAATTTCAAATCAACAAAACACGACTTTTTGAATCATCATTTACTTTCACCTATTTCCGAAACGAGTTAATTCTGCATAAAACTTATATCCTTTTGCGGTATATAAATTAAATTTGAAATCCGAATTCCGTGTAACATTCTTTCATTAAAGAAAACAATAATTTTCAACAAATAATCTTAATATTTTTTATTCACATGTTGATAATAGTTTATCACGCGACTAAAATTTCGTCTTGCTTACCCTCACGCAGTCATTATCAAGCGATCGATCAATTTAGTTGTGTTTTCAAGAAATATAATGCTTAATTTTTAGTTCCACGTCATTGATTCACTTTAAACATGTTAATTTAGTATTTAGTGGCGTCTTTTAAAAACAGAATTTCGCCGAGCTTCCGTGTATTACCTCAACAACATGATAGATTGATTATCATATACCAGTTATTGACTACCATCTTTATCAATAATGTAAATGATGTAATGTTTGTAATGTTGTATATTACGCATTGGCATTAGATAATCAAAGATGGTAGATCTATTAAATCTTTTTGCAGACAGGAGTGATCGACCGCAATTAGCCGACAACCAAACAAAGGTTTATGTTACCATTAAAATATCTTGTGTGAAACGTTTTGTATTTTTTGACAATCAGAGAACCAATTAAGTATTATGAACTTACAATGACCTACATTCTCTAGAGTGGGATGGTTGCAGATCATACCGACCTACTGGTTGGCGGTCGACCAGATAAGATAATAAAATAATGGAGATTTCTTCTTTCCTTTTCTGGACATCTGGGTATTTATAAGCACCACTTTTCGCATTTCATTATTTTTTTTGTAAGAAAAAGCCCCGAGCCCAACTTAAAATCAACGAAATGGCAGCCGAAATTATCTCATCTACATACGTAAAAGAGGTCGTGGCCGGCACCTTCGCTGGTTGGGCTCAAGTAACAGTAGGTGAGAAGAAAAAAGATAAATAGTAAATATTTTTGGATAAAGTTAACGCTTACTTTATTATTCAAAGGATTCCCCTTCGACACAGTTAAAGTTCGACTTCAAACCAGCGGACAGTGGTATCATAATGCCATGGATTGCTGTAAATCAATAATCAGAAATGAGTCGGTTGGTATTAGAATTTAATAATTATGGTTACAACAGTCGTTTGAATGAGGAATAGACTAACCTTTTCGAATTTAACAGTTCCTTGGATTTTACAGAGGGGTCAATTCTCCTTTGTTGGGAATTGGGATCTGGTAAGTCTAAGAGAAGTCTCGTTTACATGCGTTCGTTTCTTTTTTTTTTTTTTTGCCGCTAAAATTCCCTTTCTTACCATAACTGTGTTAGCAACGCGACCTTGTTTAGCGTGAACTCAAAACTTCGCCGACTAGTTAGCGGCGGTGACACGACACGAACGCTCTCACTACGTAAATATGCATTTTAGTAATTTCTCTTAAATCCAAGTTTAATTGAACAGACATATCAACATAAGTTTAAATTTCAGGCGAAGTTGGCGCATCTGGTGCACTTACCGGCGCAGTAATGGCATTTATCAATACTCCGGTGGAACTACTTAAAGTGCAATTGCAAACACAACATACCGTTAATGCCTCAGTCTCTAAGCCAGTAGGTTTCCCTGTTTGAGGCGCATATTGTTTTTGTGTCATTCATATACTAAAAGGTACTATCTCTCATTGCAGTACAAAGGAGTAGTTGACGCCGGAATTCAAATATTTAAGAACCGCGGAATTGCTGGTTTATATCGTGGTATTACAATAACCATACTGCGAGATATTCCAAGCTTTGCGACATATTTCTGTAAGAGTTGTGTTTATCCTCCGCCTAATCATATTCCACATATTAATCATTTTTTTAACATTTATAGTTGTATACGACGGAACAAAACGAATAATAGGGAACAGAAAAAATGGTAGTCATGGTGATCTCACACCTTTAGAATTACTTTTTGCTGGTGGAATGGCCGGTGTTGCTTGTTGGATTCCTTGCTATCCACAAGACGTAATCAAGAGCAGAATGCAAAGTGATCTCAAGTAGGTCTCATTCTTTAAATGAGCAAATTTTTACGCAATAATAAACTTCAATTAACCAATAATTATTTCAACATTGTAGGTTTAAATCAACTGGTGAATGTTTTCGTGCGTTAATCGCGCATTCAAGGCAAACAAATACTTCAATATTTCGTTCTTTTTCCAAGGGCTTCGGACCTACTATGGCAAGAGCATTTCCTGCCAATGCAGCAACATTTTTTGCTTATGAAATGGTGATGGGGAGGTTGCGTTGAGCTTTTTCTTATGATATGGTAATAAGATTACCATGACATTAACACATGTATTTAGAATGACAATTTCATCCAAGATCTAAAAGTAATTATCGCATTGCATCACAATAATTCAAAGAACATGACATAGAGAAAATATGATTTTTTTTGAAAAAAAAATATGCATTAAATAAAAAAAAAATTTTTTTCTTCACAATAGTCACGTGATGGTGGAATTAGTGATTATCGAATTTCATGATAATAAAAATTCTTGAGGCTTCATTAGAGGTAGAAAATTTTTTTTCTCGACTAAAAATTAATAAATAATAAAATAAACAAAACCACTTGAATTTAAATATTAAATAATAAGAATATAAACATGATTTTTTGATATTTTGTTAATATAGAGGGGTAACAATGATGACCAAACGATCGCAACATACAGTTTGTTCTGAAAATGATCGTCACGATTTATTTGATTTTTTTTATTTAAAATTATCAGCATTGCATTTTTTTAATGTTATTAAAAAAAAATGATTTTAATATTTATCATTTTGTAAATAAATTCAGTTGGAATTGCATTCCAGGCAATATTAGTTTTGAATTTTAAGTTTGAAAAATTAATTAATCAATTTATCAAAACTACTTTATAACTTGAAACTTTATTTTTTATCAAAGATTTTTAATTAAGTTGAAATCCAAACTTTGAGTAAACCAGTTAAACAACTGTATATTTGCAAAGTCATAAACTGTTTTAACAATTTTATATGATAAAGAGATATATTATCTTTTTGCAAAATTCTATTATTATTAAAAACTAATTTAAAATATAATGAAATTAAAAATCTTTATATAATACTGAATATACAATATCTATAATTAAATTTTTAAAAAAAATTAGAAAATATTTAATAATATATAATTTAAAAACTTATTTCTATTTATAGATCAATAATACAGTAAATAGTATTTTCAAATTTCTAAATACAGTAGTGATCAAAAAAAATGACACTGATATTTTTTATTATAATTTAATAAATAATAATTTAATTGAAACAAAACTTTTTTTTTTTTTTTTTTGAGGAGCAAGTGGCTATCGCGCTATCATTTATTATTATAATTTTAGACTTGCGAGTTACAAGATTTACAATGTGGAAAGCATGACATACATCTCTCTTTGCTAGGAAGAGTTAAATGCAGGACCTGTAAAG